TTTACTTGCTGAGTACCGTGTGGTTTGGTACTCACCCCTTGCTTCTACAAATTTTTGTAGGTTACTAGCCCGGACTTTTATGATATATTCTCTTCTTTTCCGAGGCTTCTTGGAGATTTGTCAGGTAGCTGTTTCCATCGCAGCAGACTTTCTTCTCCTTAATTATGATCTTGTCCTATTCTAGAAACAAGTTCATTTGAGACTTGACTTTTCTTTTGAATCAATTGTAATACTTTAGAGGCTTGTACACGTGACTACCAGGTTTTGGGGGTTTTATTAAGTTACTTATATTTTACTTCCGCACTTTATTGTAATGGTTGAGTTTTAGGCTGACTTGTCTTGGTGGGATAAGACGAGTGTCATCACGCCCATTTTTGGGTCGTGACATACATCTTATTAATTTGGATTAAATTTTTATTGTATAAATAAAAATATACAATAAATTTTGTGTTCATGGTTGAAACAAACTCAATCATAACAATCATAGATGATAAAAAGTTAGATTGTGTGACATATGATTGTCTAGATACGTATCAAATCTTGTCAATTTCAAGATATTAAATATATCAATTGATTTAATAAATCAATTCAATTTTACAAATATTAACTCGAACCAGTTACTAATTTGTCACAAATAAATATCTTGCATTGGATGATTCTAGATGTTTGGAGAGAGATCATTTACCTGTAAAAATTATCATTTTAACCTTGTTCTTCCCAACTATCACGTTTATGACCTTGGATTAGTGGAAAATTACAAAAATAGCTTTGGTAGTCCATGTGATGACTCTTGTATATAGTAATAATATAGAAACTAGATATTTAAGTCCGTAATACGGCTCAATGTAATTTTATTTACTTTGTTAAAAAAATTAGATAAATTCACAACTTAAGGTATTATAGTCCTCTTTTGGATGCATCCCTATTTCCTCTTAGATACATCTATTTCCTCTCAGATACATATCTATCCCTTTTCGAGTTCATTTCTTTCCCGAAGTAATATGTCATTTGTAATTTATTGGATAACCAAGGAATGTATTCGACAAGATTAAAAAAATTGAGATTTTTGTAATTGAGAAAACTTCGTAATTAGCCTCCAAAGATATGAATTTTCTATAATTTATACTATTTTTTTCTTTAGTAAACAATTTCAATATATTAATTTATAATCTATTTCAAATGGTCATATGATATAAATGTGTAGTTTACAACCTAAATTGAGAAAGTTTAATTTTAAAAAATTCTTTGCAGCAAGGAAATAGTGAATTGCGTTAGATTAAGAGTTAAAACATTTCATGTTCAAGGAATATATAAAATGTTAATATCTTTGAAAAATTTAATCGGTCTTCATATATATGCGCAAGTGCTATCTATTTTTCACAATATTATTATCTTCATTTGAATATTTGCACCATAAGCTTTGCATCTGATAAAATATTAATCATTGATCAATCAATTCGTAATGATTGATTTAAAGTCTTTCAAATCTCTATTGCTTCAAGTTAAGTATAATGAGTTTGTGTTTGACTTTGTCGATGAAATTTGTGATACATTTATTATTGCTTCGATAAATAGAAATACTTAAAAATTAATTTCTAACTCAATAAAAACAATCAAGAAATCAACTTTATTTCTATATATAATAACAATTATCGCAATGTTATATTTTAAATATTGAAAGTATTTATCAAAAAATAATTTTGCCTCCACAAAAACAAAAACAATCATGAAAGAAAATTTATTTCCGTATAAAATAACAATTATCGTAATGTTATATTTTTAATTACATGAATTAATTTTTTTGATACTACACTTAATATCACGCCGTAAAGAAAACTCTAAAGCTTGCCCCCCACCCCACCTCACACCCACACACACAAAATAACCAATATATTTTTTTTGAGGTTTTCTTTTTTTAATTTATTTATTTTTTAGTTTTTTTCTTCCTCTAAATTTCTAAACAATCTTTTTCTATTGACATTTTCTTCTTTATTATTTAACTACTCATTTTCTTTGGTTTGAATTTCAATATTCATTAGTATTTGAATGTTAAACGTTGACCTTGTCAAATTTTCTCTGTTAAATGGTACTCCCTCTGTTCTTATTTAGTTGTTCACTTTAGAAAAGACACACGTATTAAGATAACCATAATTAGCAAGTGAAATTATAATTTTACCCTTATTAAATATGGTTTCAAATGAATTAAAACTTAGAAATTTTCAAGAAGTTTAAATGAGGATATAATAAGAAAAAAAAATTGTCCTTTCTTGACCTGTCAAAATGGACAAGTAAATAGGGACATCTAAAAGAGAAAATATGGACAAGTAAATAGGGACAGAGTGAATATCATATTTGATATTATAAAAATATAAAAAAATAGAAATTTTATATTTTATAATCTTTCGATGAATAGATTATCAAATTATTGATTTATTAATAATCAAACATTGTTCATTCTTTTAATCACGAAATTTGATATTTTCTTCAAATTATTTAAAAACTACTTATACGTCATTTTAAAGAATATTTAAATAATCAAAATACGAATTTAGTGGTCATATTATGTAACATAATATTAAAAGTATGTTTATGCAATATTCCTTTAAAATATTTCTAGAAACAAAATATTAACTATTCAATTTATTTTAATTAATTCAAACTTTTCTTTCTAAAATATGTCAAAACACATTTATTATTATTTGTAAGAAGTTAATTATGTAATAGAAACTCTTCATTTAAACAAAATTACAATAATATCATTATGGACCCAGAACAAAAGTTAAGACATGTATGGATATTTTTTCTAGATTTTCATTTTGACCATTAATTATATAATTTTTATTTTACCCTTAAGCAATATTAAAATTACTAAAATGTCAGTGATCATCCTTCTCATGGATCTTCTATATCTCATTGTAATCTTCATAATCTAAACTCAATAACTAGGTTTGAATCGAGCTTGTTAATCATTAATTCATCAATAAGTAGCTCTGATTCATCTACCAATTTGTGTGTTGTATCTAGACTTATTTTTTCTTCGATATTAATAAAATCCTTTTCGTACTTCCTTCATTACAATTTATGTGACGGAATTTTAATTTGTACAAGGTTAAAAAAGAAAAATCAAGACTTTTGAAACTTATAAGCACATAGAACATGTCATAACATTCGTGTGGTTATGAAACTTTTTATATTTCTATTAATTAATACTTGCTCTATCTCAATTTATATGACTCGCTTTTCTTTTTAGTTAGTCTCACAAAGAATGACATATTTTACATATTTAGTAACAATTTAACTTTAAAATATCCATTTTAACCTTAAAAATGATTTATAAGCACACACATATCTATCACTTATTTTAGACCACAAGTTTCAAAAGTATTTATTCCTTTTGATTTTAAATTCAATGTCAAATTAATATTAATTAGCTCAAATAATTTGAAACTAAGAGAGTGTAAAAAAAAGTTCAAACTTCAAAGGTAAATTACTGCAAATAGAATATTTCAAACACACTCTCACACAAAATTACAAAGAGACACATCACCATTTAGATAATGGCACCACTGCTGCTATAATAATATATATAATAACCATGTAGTTTGTTAATTAATAGCAGCATTATTTATTTAATTATATGTGTATTAGTACATAATAAGATAGATAGTGCCATGTGATATTAATGGCTTTATATGTTTTAATTGTTGTTTTCAACAATGATAGTAGCAGTAGCAATCTCCATGAGAACAACTGCCATATTTAGCATCTTCTTTTTCCATGCACCAATGGTTACATTTCTTGTGGAAACACTTGCCATTCCAACTCTTGCTATGCTTCCCACAGTGTTTTGCTTCTGTTATTTGTGTCTCTGTATCAAAAATGATTTATACGATTTAAATTATATATATTGATTATGTAAAGAATTATTACGTACATTCTTCAATGTAGAATTGATTTTCGATTTTTTTTTTAATTATGAATTTGAATCGTCATATAGTATTCAAAATGTATGTATCCATAATTCAACATGTGTTTTGTTTGGTTTGAAGGAAAATATTTTTAAAAAAATATTTTTTTTAATTGAAGCAGGAAAAATAAGTTTCGTGGTAAATGATGCTTTCATTAAAATTCCATGCTCAGAGATCATATGTAAACATAAAAGTGCAACCTAGGGTTTGTTAGTATGATATAATTTATTTTTTTTATATTTGGTTCGTCAAATATGTTCGGAAAACATTTTCTGAAGGAAACAAGTTATACATGCTAATGACATTTCACATTAATTGTATCCTCCCACACATAAACAGGACACCTCATTGATCTTAACCCCACCATCCCACGTACCCTATCTCCCCGTCTTAACCTGACATAATATTTGTCTAAATAATTATATACAAATGCTTTAAAAATAATAGTTTTTACTTATCTACCAAACACTAGAAAATAAGTAGGATCAATACAGATCACTTATATTTTCCTAAAAAACATTTTTCAAGAAATTATTTAAACATTTTTCTTCCTACCAAACATACAATATAATCTAACATATACATGATGTATTTGCAATACTTTATCCTATTAAAGCAACTAGAAAGAAAAAAAAAACTTAAGAATTTCTCACCAGAAGCAAACATGAGAAGAAAGCAAAGTAGGATAGCAGAAAGAGTTATTATGTTAAATTTAGGTTGAGCCATTTCTTTAGCTCTTTATGAGATGTTTTAATTTGTGGAATCTAAGTTTAATAAGAGGGTCTATTTATAGTGACACAAAAATAATAATTTTACTAACACTTGTGTTTAAAATTAACATTAAGCACACAAAGTAAAGAAAATGTCAAAGAAAATTATTTGAATTGATCAAATTAAAGGTTATCCTTCTTCCATCACATTCATCTCGAAAGTATTACGGACATATAATTAATTATTCTTTAAATAAATTGACCATAGTAAATTTAGAAGACTTAATTGATAGTCTTTATGGAATTGTAATTTTATTTTTTCCATATCTCTCTTTCTAATTGAAACATTAGTAGTTATTCTATATTTTATTTTCATGGGAAAAAAGTGTTTTTATTTCTAGCACAAATTAATGAGAAATTTATGTTAAGAAATATGATCTTTTTTCGTATTTTTATTTGGAAAATAATGGTAAAAAACAGGTTTTCATTGAAATAATGAAAAGTTTCCTAATTTTTTTGTATGAAAACATTACTAGCTTTTATTTTCTCAATGATTCAATCAAAATATATGTTAAAATAGAATACTTTTGGATGAAAATTTTAAATAAGAGAGAATTAGTGACTTTTTAGTAGTGTATGGGGAACCATTTACTTTAAAATATGTTCATAAAAGAATTGCACACAAATTTCTACTTAAAAAAACCCTTTTTTCGTTACATTTTAAAACACTTTAAACTTTCACTATACCCTTATAAGAATATGTTTTTTTTTAGTAATATAAATGTTACATATATAAAAGTTTGTCTTTCTTTTCTTCAACTCCTTGCCCAAATTTAATCCAACTCACTCGGTTGACACCTCTAGCGTGTAATAAACTTATGAAAATTATTTCCCCTCTTTCTATTGAGAAAGTCATTTTTGTTATTTAAGAAATTTTCTTTTCTTATAGAAAATGTCATAAATCAAACATAGAAACATTTAATCCTCACCTAACACACCTTACGTATAATAGTAATTTATCATTTATAGTATTATATTGCAAGTTTATACTTTTGTCAAAGACAATAATGTCAATTTGAAATGATTATTTAAGTTTTGTTACGTCCTATACCTAATGGTTATTGATTTATTGTGAAAATATACAAGTTTTATAGCTAGTCATTAATGACAAGCATACCAATTAGTTGAAATAAATTATATAGGCTTTATCACCCTGCACGCAATGGTTAATTGATCGTGATGTATACTAAAAAGGGTTAAACTTGTATGTATTGATAATATAAATAATTTTGATATTATCAATGTATTATAACATGTTAAAGCTAACATGGACGTCTTAACTTTTACGTAATTAATGTCATCACTATACAAAAGAGGGTTTTGCGAGTAATTATTTAACGATAGTAATATAATTGTCACATTATTATATTTAGTAGCAGAAATAATAAATATTTATCGTTAATATTCTATGTAAATGTCGTTAAAGATTTTAACGACTCTAAATAAAATGTTATTAGCTCAATTACCACTAAGTATTTCACAGCAACAAAAGAAAAATCTATTGTCACTAAATATCTCTTCTGTTGGAGTGCGTAATATTCTTATTGATATTATTTGTAGTTATCTTATCGATATATGAAAGTTAAATCAAACATTAAGAAAGATCAAGTTGCTTCAAGAGTTTAAGTTTGAATTTTTCAAAAATAGTTAGGTATTTGTTGGATATAATCAAAGTTAAATATATTTGTGGAGAGAGGGAAAATTGTTATCAATACTTGAGAAAATGGATAAAAAGAAAGAAAGGTGAAAATGACTTTTTCATGTTAAATTATTTGATATATATCTACTCTAAATAAGCATGTATCATTAGTTGTTCGATCAAATTTCCTATTTATTTGATTTGGACTAAGTTAATTGAAAGAGTTGGTTTTGGTTCTTGTAGAATCAAACTAAATGGAAGATGAATTAATATGAATATTTGGTAGGAAGATAATTAGTAGGAAATACAAGTCAAAGATTGTATCTTGGTAGGTGAAAGTTAGGCAAACCATATAATGGTTTGCTATCTTAACCTTGACAATTTTGACACATAGCGATGTCATGGATGACATCAATAGAATGAATTTATTCCTATAAATAGGTAGCTCTTAATTCATTTTCAAATCATCCTTTCACTTGCCTTCTCACCTTCTAAGGCATTGTGTTCTCTCTCTTGTAGTATTTCACTTATATTCTTTGTATAGTGAAATAAATATTGGTGCAGTTGTTCTTTGGTGGACGTAGGATCATTTTGATCTGAACCACGTTAAATATTGTTGTTCTTCCTTGTTCTTTAGTTTCACGTTTCCGCTAACAATTGGTATCAGAGCAAGGTTCTGTGTGAGTATGCTCTGTGGTTGCAGCACAGTCTGAACTTCCACATCAGAAAAGGATTACTTTGGTTTTCTGTAGTTCGAAATACATTGTAGTAGAAAAGGAAGAACAAGTAAAAAAAATGAGTTCCACGAAGTTTGAAATTGATAGATTTAGTGGGCGCAACAACTTCAATATCTGGAAAATCCAGATGATAGGGTTACTGCGGAGGGAAGGTTCAATCCATGCTATTGACTTAAAGTACCCCGATAAGATATCGGAATCCGACAAGGAAAAGATTGAAGGAGATGCATTGAGTGCAATCCAACTGTCCGTTGCACCTAACGTACTTTGTGAAGTGAGTACAAGTATCGAAGAGACGACCAAAGAGTTATGGGAAAAGCTGGAAGGGCTTTACCAGGACCAGTCAGTGACAACAAGGATGTTGTTACAACGGCGTCTTCATACATTTAAGATGGATTCAGGTACTTTGTTGCAAGACCATCTAGATGCGTTCAATAAACTTGTGATGGACTTACAAACTGCTGGAATTAAAAAGGACGAGGAGACACTTGCATGTTCTTTACTATTTTCATTGACTTCAAAATATCGTGATATTGAGAATTCAATGATGTATAGCAAACAACCTATTAAACTTGAGCAAGTGAAGCAAGCACTAAACTCTTGTGATGTGCGGATGCATTTTGAAGGAGACAAAAGTGACGAAGCTAGTGGACTCTTTGTAAGAGGTCGTACTAGCCAAAAGGGAAGGAGCAAATCGAAGTACAAATCAAAGTCTCGTGTGAACAAAAAGAATGCGGAGTGTTGGGGCTGTCACAAGAAGGGGCACTTTGAACGAGATTGCCCTATGTCGAAGTCCAAAGAAAAGGCGAGTGCATCCATTATTGAGAAAGTACATGATAATGATGATGATTATGTACTAACAACATCATGCAATAATGGAGTCTATAACAACAAATGGATCTTAGACTCTGGTTGTACTCTGCATATGACATTCCGAAAAGATTGGTTCAGCAGCTATGAAACAAGCAAAGGAACTGTATTAATGGGCAATAATGCAACTTGTAAAATAGTTGGCATTGGTTCAGTTCATGTACGCTGCCATGATGGAATCATGAGGACTATTACAGAAGTCCGTCATGTTCCTGATCTAAAGAAGAATTTGATCTCCCTGGGTACTTTAGATAAACAAGGCTATAAGTACATGAGTGAAGGAAGAACTATGAAAGTGACTAAAGGGTCTTTAGTCATGTTGAAGGCCAAGTTGGAGGATGGCCTCTACACACTTGCGGGAAGCACCATTATTGGCTCTGTAAATGCATCTACAGTGCAGTTGACAAGGCAAAATTATGGCACATGAGACTAGGCCATATGAGCGCACGAGGATTGGAGATGTTGAGCAACCGCAACCTTTTGAATGGTGAGAAGATCAGCACACTTGAATTTTATGAGCACTGCGTCTTAGGGAAGCAGAAAAAGGTCGGCTTCAGCACTGGCAAGCACAAGACGGGAGGGGTGCTAGACTACATCCATTCAGATTTATGGGGTCCCTCTAAGCTTCCATCAAAGGGAGGAAAGAGGTATCTTCTCACATTCATTGATGATTTTTCACGAAAGGTTTGGGTGCGTTTCCTGAAGACAAAAGGTGATGCTTTTGAAGCATTTAAAGAGTGGAAGATTTTGGTTGAAAATCAAATTGAGAGGAAAATCAAGTATCTTTGCACGGACAATGGCTTGGACTTTTGCAGTGAAGAGTTCAATGATTTCTGCAAAGTTCATGGGATCGCAAGGCATAAGACGGTCAGGCACACACCACAGCAGAATGGAGTTGCCGAGAGAATGAACAGACTCTTCTTGAGAAGGCTCGTTGTATGCTCTTACAAGCTAAGATGTCCAAAGTATTTTGGGCTGAAGCAGTTCATACTGCTTCTCATATTGTCAATCGGTCTCCAGCATCAGCGATTGACTTTAAGACTCCGAATGAGGTCTGGTCAGGTGAAACCTCTAACTATTCATACTTGCGAATATTTGGGTGTCCAACTTATTAGCATGTTAATGAAGGTAAGCTTGAACCAAGGGCTAAAAAGGCCATATTCGTAGGGTATGTTGATGGAGTAAAAGGGTACAAACTATGGTGTTTGTCTTTACTCAAATTTGTAGTTAGTAGAGATGTTACCTTTGATGAATCCTCTATACTTGATCCTCGTAAAGTTTCTGTGGAGTTATGTAGAAATGAGAACAACGAGCAGGTGGAGCTACCGGTGGAGCTTACCAAGAAACGGGATCAAGAGACTCAAAGTGATGAGTCAAAAGATGCAGAAGAACTTGCTTCAAATGAACCATACACAATTGCGAAGGGAAGGGACAAAAGGCAGATACGGAAACCGGAACGTCTTATAGAGCAAGAAAATCTGATTGCACAAGCGTTTGTAGCTGCAGAAGAAGAGATTAAGGATCTCGAGCCCTCTTCGTATATTGAAGAAACTTCTTGCAAAGTTGCTGCACAATGGCAGTTGGCCATGATGGAAGAGATGGAGTCTCTTCACAGAAATGAGACATGGGTCTTAGTTAAAAGGCCAAAGGGGATAAGGACAGTTGGATGCAAATGGGTCTACAGAAAGAAATAAGGTATTCCAGAAGTGGAAGCTGCTAGGTTCAAGGCGAGATTGGTTGCAAATGGTTTCAGTCAGAAGGAGGGAATTGACTACAATGAGATCTTTTCTCCAGTCGTGAAACATAGCTCAATTCGCGTGCTGCTAGCATTGGTTGCACAATTTGATTTAGAGCTTCAATAGCTTGATGTCAAAACTGCTTTTTTACATGGTGATCTAGAAGAGACAATCTATATGGATCAGCCTGAAGGTTTCCTAGCTGAAGGAAAAGAAGACCATGTATGCCAACTGAAGAAGTCTTTGTATGGTTTGAAGCAATCCCCTAGACAGTGGTACAAGAGGTTTGATGCATTCATGACTACACATGGCTTTTCAAGGAGTGCATTTGATAGTTGTGTGTATCACAAGAAGATGTCTGGTAACTCTATGATTTATCTTTTGTTGCATGTTGATGATATGCTTATTGCTGCTAACAACATCACAGAGATAAATATTTTGAAGAAACTGTTGAGCAAGGAATTTGACATGAATGATCTAGGAGTTGCAAAGAAAATCCTTGGAATGGAAATTTCAAGAGAAAAGTTCTTGAAAGATTCAATATGGATACGAGCAAGCCTGTAAGTACACATTTAGCCTCTCATTTCAAGCTTTCAGAGTTACAAATGCCTCAATCTATGGATGATGTGGAGCATATGTCAAAGGTTCCTTATGCGAGTGCAGTTGGTAGCATTATGTATGCTATGGTATGCACACGTCCAGATATTGCCCAATCTGTAAGCGTAGTAAGCAAGTACATGGCAAATCCGAGCAATTCAAAATTACCTCTGAATAACACAGATTTTAGATATGAGATCCTCTCGATATTTCCAATATTTATATGCATAATTCTTTCAAAATAGTTCACCTTTACCGTACGTCGAGTTTTAAAGAAAAAAAAGGAAGAAGGAGGAGGAGGAAGAGGAAAGAGGCGGAGAACGCAAGAGGAAGGAGGAGGAGGAGACAGGACATAGAAGAAGAGAAAGGTTGCGTAAAGTTTATATAAGTTCGAACTAAATAGATGGAGCTCGAATACATTATAATATAACTCAGATACATAATATGTAGTTCGGATACAAAACATAAATCAGATACATAATATGTAGTTCGGATAAATTAAAAATTAGCTTTGATACTTTATAAAATAAATCGGATACATAATATATAGCTCGAATACATTAAATATTGACTCAAATACATTAATATGTAGCTCGAACACATTTAAAAATAAAAAATTTCAAAAATTTCTAAAAATAAAAAGAAATTTCAAAAAAATGTAACACGTGTATTTCAATAATTTTTCCTTGTATGGTCCGGAACATGCATGACATATAACATAGTCTAGGACCAAATAATAACAAAGACAGACCCAATCTCCATAGTAAATTTGAAAGCCCAAATATCGACCCAAAATTGTGTACTTGTAACATCTTACTTCTCACTTCTTAGTAGACAAACAATGTTTCTTAGAGCCAAGTCCCAACAATATAAAATCTCCCGCTTTTTCACCATTGAAGCAACAAAACAAGCTTTCAATAATCAACAAGAATGTTTTCCCATTACTCAACAACTCTTATTCCTCTTGAAAAAATGCATTACAATCAAACAAGTACAACAAAGCCATGCCCAAATGTTAATTTACTCTATAGACAAAGCCAACTTTTTGCTTTCAAGAATAATAGACCTCAAGAATTTCGACTATGCTACTCTTCTTTTTTCACATATTCATAGCCCCAATGAGTATGCATTTAATATTATGATAAGAGGGTTAACTACAACATGGCAAAAATTTGATCTTTCTTTAGAATTTTATCACAAAATGAAGTCTTTAGGTTTGAAAACTGATAATTTTACCTACCCTTTTGTGTTTATGTGTTGTGGGAATCTTTTAGCTGTGAAACTTGGTAGATTAGCTCATTGTGAGGTTGTGAAAAATGGGTTGTTTGTAGATTTTCATGTTGGTCATTCTTTGATTACTATGTATTCACGTTTTGGGAAAATGGGTTTTGCAAGGAAGGTGTTTGATGAAATTTCACTGAGAGACTTGGTTTCGTGGAATTCGATGATTTCGGGGTATGCTCAAACGGGTTGTTCGAGAGAGGCAGTGGGATTGTTTATGGAAATGAGGGATGAGGGGTTTGAACCTGATGAGAGGAGTCTTGTGAGTGTTCTTGTGGCATGTGGGGATTTGGGAGATGTCAATTTGGGAAAGTGGGTGGAGGAGTATGTTCTGGGGAAGAGAATGGAGATGAATTCTTTTATTGGTTCAGCTCTGATTAACATGTATGGAAAGTGTGGAGATTTGGTTTCTGCTAGAAGGATCTTTGATGGCATGAAGAAGAAAGATGCCATCACTTGGAATGCAATGATTTCAGGGTAAACACTTACTTCAACAGTTTAATATCCTTGGCTGTTTGCATTCTATTTGCGTTAAATGGTCAGTTTTTTTTAATTGAGATCATCATTTTACTATTCGGTCACAATGGGGAAAAAAGGCTATATATAGGCGATACCTATAATGTTGGAAGTATGTTTTAATCATGTTAGTATACTTACTTTGGATCTTATGCTCTCTAGGAGTTTTCGCCTATCTGAGATTTTTATGTCAATAGAAATATAGAGAACTTCTATTCTTCATTTGTATAATATTGGCTTGAGATGAGTTTAAAAGGAGGAACATGATAAGTGAGGATTTAATGAGGACCATGAGACCTAAAGTTCAAAGCTCAGCGAAGGCAAACATACTAGGTGATTTCCCATCTGCGGAAGTCTTGCTGGACAAAGTTATCGGTATTGTGATGGTGCGAGGTGGCAAATACCCCATGGAATAATCATGGTGAACATTAGATAGCTCAAATACCAGTGTTATTAAAAAAAAAAGAGGATTAATATAACCGCCACAACTTGCTTGGGATTAAGGCGTAGTTGGCCTTGTTTGTATCATTTTGTATTTGTGCAAGGGGTACCCAAATCCAAATCTGGCTTGCAGTACTTCTTTCAATAAACTCTATGTGAAACCTATGCTAGTTTCTCGTGGTCCAAATCTATTGGTATCCATTATAGTTTTTTCAAATGAATGTGCATTTAGAAAATCAAAAGAATAACTGTGTTTTGAAGCATAAAAAATATGAAGCCTGCTGTGATTTATGTCCAGTCGTGTTGAGGTTTTTCTGTTTCACTAGTACAGCAATTGTATGTTCTCCTATATTAGTCTCTTCTATGGATCTGAATTGTACTTATTACAGGTACGCACAAAATGGGTTGTCCGATGAAACAATCTCTTTGTTTAATGCCATGAAGGAGGCAGGAGTTAACCCAAATAATATCACACTGGTAAGTGTTCTCTCTGCATGTGCTTCAATTGGAGCCCTGGATGTCGGAAAAAGCATCGATGACTATGCATCAAGAAGAGGAATAAAGTATGACATATATGTAGCTACGGCCTTAATTGATATGTATGCAAAATCCGGCAAACTGGATGATGCGTATCAAATTTTTGAAAGCATGCCTAGAAAAAATGAAGTCTCTTGGAATGCAATGATTTCTGCTCTTGCCTTTCATGGAAGAGCACAAGAAGCATTATCCCTATTTGAGCGCATGTCACTCAAGAGTAGTGATGCCCGACCAGATGATGTCACGTTTGTTGGAGTACTCTCAGCATGTGTACATGCAGGGTTGGTTGATAAAGGGAAGTACATCTTTGATATAATGAACTCATCATTTGGATTGGTTCCAAAAGTTGAGCATTACTCTTGCATGGTTGACCTTTTGTCTCGTGCTGGTCGTGTATATGAGGCATGGGACTTCATTGAGAAGATGCCTCAAAAACCAGATGAAATTTTACTTGGTGCATTGCTTGGTGCCTGTCAAAAGCTCAAAAATATTGATGTTGGGGAACGAGTGATGCAGCTACTCCTTGAGATGGAACCGTCAAATTCGGGTAATTATATAATATCATCCAAGATATATGCAAACCTCCGAAGGTGGGATGATTCAGCTAGGATGAGACAATTAATGAGACAAAAAGGTGTAACTAAAATTCCAGGCTGTAGCTGGATTGAGATGGATTCTCAACTTGTTGAATTTCGTGCTGGTGATTCGTCACATCCAATCATAGATGGGATTCAACAAGCACTAGACTTGTTGTACGAGGAGATGACCATTGAAGGTTATGTTCCAAATGTGAATCTTGTTTAGAAAGGTGCGGATGAAGATAATATATACCTTGCTATGTTTATCAGGTGGAATTGAATTCATGTATTAAAAGAAAAAACTACTAGAAAAGATAGGCATTGAACGCAGGAAAATCTGGCTCGTTAAATGTTTAAGATTTTGACAACATGGTTAATGAGAAGAAAGCTCAAGTTTTTAGACTTTACGTCTTTAATGATTTGCTCTAGCTGCTGGTACTACTTTTCACATGAAATGAAGTTAGTTTGCATTGCAGTAATGCAAGTTTTAGTTGGGTTTCATTCAGTAACAACAAAAGCTATAGTTATTTTTTCCACTTTCTAGGATGTCTAGGTGTATAGTTATGAACTTCGAACATTTTACGAATTGTAATTGAATTTTTCAAAATTATGATAAGTTATTGGAAATTCCTAATAGCTTCTCTGTCTTAATTCAAAGGTTGTTGTCGAGAGATAAACTAGCTTTGATGAAACAGCTTGTTTTCTATTAAATAAACTTTGATTTTCAAGCTTGGGTCACTCCTTTTAGATCTCTTGACATGGTGAAATAGCTTATATATTCTTTCAAGTGATATAGAATTACTTGCTATTCTCAATTCAACTAACTTAAGATATTTTACTATTTGCCTACAGTAGGTAACTTTGCAGCATGGATTGTTGGATAGGCCACCCGATACCTCTATGATCGTTGTTAGGGCTTGAACTGAATGCATGATCAGTTTGTTGGATTCAGTAATCCGCATACTTCCGTGTGAAGTCTGACTTGCCAGGTACATATATGGTCTAATACATATCTGTTTAGGGAAAAAGGACAAATATACCCTGAACTATCATAAATGTTATGCAGATACCCTCCATTATACTTTTGGGACATTGGTGCCCCTGCCGTCCAAAACTAGCGCATATATACCCTACCCTTTATACTAACGGACATACACGAGTCATAATCTTATCCACCGACATTTTTAAATATCGGATCGACGGATAAGATTGTGTCATGTGTCACTATTTAGTGTTCCGTTAGAGTGAAGGACATATATGCCCTAGTTTATGGACGGTAGGGACACCAATGTCCCAAAAGTATAACGGAGGGTATGTGCATACCATTTTCAATAGTTCGAGGGTATATTGTCCTTTTTCCCATCTGTTTATTATCTCAAGTACATGTTCCTTTACATGTTACCAAGTTGTCGAGACTCTTTAACTCTCTAATATTTCTGACTGACCTGTGGATGTAGGATCCTTTTGTGCTTGCTTTGACACCAAATGAGAAACTATAAATACAGGAACCACAAATGGTAACTGGACAAATCAATTTCACAAAATGATCAAGCAAGAAGCAATTCAATCTCAGCCACACCGAGTGTATAGTAAGGTCCCTCTCTCAAAGTATGCATATTTTGCTGGACAACACAGAAATTTGCTGCTCCTTGACACGTTGCTTGATGTTCTTATGTTGTGACTAAAGAGTGAAAGTTCAGCTAGCGAGTAGTCCCCTCCCCTTCCAACACCCCCTGGGGCATTTACGGCCGCAAGGTTTTGCATGGAACTTTCTGAATTTTGACGAAAATATGTTTACTATTTATGAATAAATGTTCTTTATGAATAGTCACACACTGATTACTCCTATCACAATGTCCTAAGTGGCTTTGCTGCTATGCTAACTCCAGAAGAAGTTTCAGCTTTGAAAGATAAGCAAGGAATCCTGTCAATCCGACCACAAAAACTTTTTTATCCACAAACCACTCTAGATTTTGCATGATGAAAGAAGAGTTCCTAAGAGGAGTTGACTACGGATCTGTTAGATCTGATTGAGCTATGACTCGATAATTTCTTGCTGTTATTTGATTGCATCTTGATTTCACCAACTTTTTGACTTGCTTCAAGAAGAATTTGCTAGTCTTTTCTTGAGTAATTTTGTTATATTCATCAATAACCTTCTGCAATTCACTAGTAACCATATCCAAAGAGCTTTTCAAGTTACAATTAGAGCAATCATGATGTCTTACCTCGCTTGATTCTCCCATAGTCATAAAGAAAATGTTTGTTTTTGAAGCAAATGTGATTCCTTCTTTTTAGTTCCAGACAATTTTGTTTGATGTGACCAGGTTTTCCATAGTGATAGCATCAATCATTATTTCTATGATAGTCTCTGTTGAGGTTTTTGTCTTCTTTGTCAAAGTATTTGTCTGACTCCTCAATTTATGAGTGACATTTTCCTACTTTAGGATTCATCGAATTTTTCCTCGATTTCAGGAGTTCTAGCAATGAACACTACAGGTGTCTTTTTATCATCGTTATTGTATTTGTTGATATGATTTTGTTCATGGGCCATAAGATTTCCTCACAGTTCATCATAGGTCATTTGTTGCAAATCTCGATCTTCAAGAATAGCAGCTTTAGTTTCACATAACTTGTAGTCCATTTGAGTATATCATTCCCAGAGATTTTGAGTTCGCAAATGATTTTGCTAAATCTTGAGAACATTGTTTTCTACATTCTCGTTCATCTGGCATTTTGAACAGTTCATATTAATTTACCAGTGAATTGATTCGTGCTTCTTTCACATTGCTGGTCACTTCATAAGTTACTTCAGGTTTGTCCCACTTTTTTTTTTTTGTGTAGTTTCGCAATTAGAGATTTTGTCGTATTCTGCTCTGCTCTGCTAACTGCACAGTACATCAAACTTATAGCTCTAGCATTAGTTTGAATTACCTCTTGTTTCTCCTTTGTGATATCGAAGGATTCCAGGTTAATTAGCTTGAAGGGAGATTCTTTTCCAGTGAGACCAGAAATTGGTTTTGGTCTCTTCTTGATAACAACTGATGCTTGAAAGTGATCTGATGTAATGAAGATTATGAACCTGTCTTTCCAGTGAGATTAGTATTGACAGGTTTAAAGAATGTCCAACGCTACTATACGATACAATAGAATTTAAGTAACAATCAAAATTAAAATTATATTTACACCAACAATATAATACACTACAATAGGTAACAACCATCCAAACAAGATGTTAAGTTTTTGAACAATTTGCACAATGAAAAAATATTCCAAAATTTCATTTCATATAAAGAATAGAGGGAGTATCCCTGAAAATTTATTTATTGACTTTGACAAATCAAAATACAAAAATCATGCCATTTTATTTAAAAAAATGGAACCAAAAGGAAAAAAAGAAACCTCTTTTCTCAAAGATTGATTCTATATTTTTTTCCCCCACTTTTATCAAATTCAAACATTCCTTTCACCAATGGCCATTCTTTTCTCCATCACTAATTGGGACCCTCCACACACTAAGAGCACTACTAATCAAACCATAATTGGAAGTTTTTGAGTTACAATAATTGCATCCTATGAGCACATAATTGGAGGATTTTTCATGCATATAGTAAGCAATTTCTTTTTTTGGGCACATAGCATTTTTAGACTACTATATTCCTAGCTAAATAAAAGTAGACTCATTGACTATTATTTTCTTAATTAATTATTACTGTCCTGTTGATTTCTAGTGGAAGTCTCAATTATTATTATTATTTTTTTCTAAAAAAACAACATATCATTAAGAGTAGAAGATTGACTTTTTCTAGACATTAAAATATATATATATATATATATATATATATATATATATATATAAGTTCAACATAGTTACTTTTAAATAACCACAATCAATTGTGTGTGCCTAAAATAATAATCCTTATTAGCCTAAATAAGAGACCTTTATAACTTTGAACTTCCCTTTAATATTATATACTAGAAGTTTTTCTTATATTAAGTGAATTCAAAATATTAAAATAAATCAAAAAATTTTGTTAGCACAATATAAATTTCAACGAAGGAAATTTAATTGAATCGTTTTCTCAATCATCACCTCCAATTGGCTCCACCTAGGGGAAAAGAAATTATTTTTTATAAGGTTCAAGATTTAATATTTATAAAATAATTTTTGATCTATATACTTAATATATAATTTCTTAAATTTTCAATACAATTTTTTTGAGAATGCAAGTCTATCATTTGCTCCTGCCTTGTTACCTTTTTCAGAAGCACATGTACTTAATTATTTTACCTACCAGAACTTTAATAGATAAGAAAAAAATATCCAATGTTTTCCATTTTATTGAAATTTAACTCTGTGTGATTTTCGCTCGTTTCATTGCCATGAAAATCTCTTAATTATTTTGTTTTTCAAAAGAATCCCTTTATTTTTGCTGATGTTAAATGGACCTACTAACTTATTTTCCTAGCCTATATATACTCACCCTGCCAACATCATTTGATAGACAAGTCTAAAATGTTTAGTCTATGAGGTTTGCATGAAGATGTAGAGAGTGAAGTTGCAGCCAAGGATGACTTGCCGGACCATAAATTGCTAGGGTTTTATAGTTTCGGCAAGTTGTTCTTGGCTATAGTTTGCTCTCTTCTTCTCATGTCATCCTCGTTAGACCTATTTTTTCCTACTTCTCGAGAAGAATTTTCAATTTTGAGAGAGTGTTATTTGATACGAAGGATTTTTAAAATCACTTTTTAAATAGTTCATACGTATTATCTAAAAATTGTTTGTGTATAACATAGGAAAACACTATAGGAGTTGAAGGTGGGTGTAGGGGTGTTATGATGGGGTGAGATCAGAGATGTATTGAAGGGCGGGGAAGAGACAACCATGTTAAATACGACTTGTGAAATTTTAGTGGATCCACTTAGTTGAGTTGTTCTATATCTCCACAAGGTATATGACAAATCTGGTAGTGTGAGCGAGATGTTATATCATTACGTTGATCATAGTGATGCTTTTCGATTAGAACATCTCACAAATAGAGTTAAAAGTGTATTTTTATCATATTGCTTAATATGTTGAGTTTAGAGATGAGTAAGTATTTTTTTAAAGTTAAAATAAATTTACTCCTTTATTTCTTTACATTTAGTTGAGTAGACGTGTATATCTATTGTAGTCGTTACACATTCAATATACTAATGTCATTTCGACCTACATATTTTTATGATGCAGATTCACGTACTTAGAATCTTCAAAAAGAATTTCGCTGAGATCACTCCGTCCGATCGTTATCTTTTGAGTGAGGTCTCCTTGCTTCCTGAGGACTTCAATGTTTATGAGTTAGTTTTGGAGAGTTCTTTTAGTTTAAGATGTTTTGCTTAAAACTTATGTTTCCTAATTAGTATACTCAGAGAGTTTTGACATTCAATAAACTATGATGAAACATTTCTTTTAGTTTGATGTTTTTCAAATGATTGGGTTAGTCTTCCACTTGTAGTCAACCAGGATGAGAATTCTCTTGGAGACCAATAATGATTTTTGAGCGTCGATCACGTCTAGGATGTAAATTCGGATCGTGACAATTTGCTCTATAATAAAAAAACATTAGGTTCTCCCATTTTGTTTCGAAAATACAAAATCAATACAACAGATACGTCAGAATCGCGAAAAACAAAACTTACTTAATTAACTTGATGAAGATTTTAATTGGTGGAGTAGAAAATCTTTTTGATTTTATTCTCCCGCCCTAACAGAATTTAAGATGAAGTAGAAATATAAATAAATTTAAATTTGTTAAACTCGTTATCCCCGTACATAGAAAGAAAGAAAATAACTGAGTCTACAGAATCCCTCGTACGTCCTTATGGAATATAATTCCCTCACTATATCCGAGGTTGTAAATTGAGGAAATTCGTTATAGAGAACTGAAAGGAGATCTCTCTATTTAATTTTTAATTATAACCAATGATCCGCGCAAACTCACATGCATGGTGTCTTTTGCGAAAAGAAATGTCTGTACGGAAGGAACAGGTCCTTTCCAAAATAGTTCATGAATTTAAATCAATAAATTTTATCTGATTTTGTAAATCTTGAAACAAAATTTTCACATTACACTAAGGAAAATCTGATATACTAACTAGAAAAAGTAAAGTAAATCGTTATGAAAAATGGCTATTTATCGATCACTACTTGAAGGTAATTCCTAACAAAGTGTTTGGATGATGTACATTATTTCAAGAATCCTTGAACAAATTTAGTGGTGGAACTACTTGATCCGCGGCTAAATGTTACTTGATATCTTTTCTTCTAGTTAAACTCGGAGAAATTCAAGAGAGGAGGGTTAACTATCACATCAACTCCTTTGGGTGGAACAATCTCTACGAGGTAGGGGACAAGACAGGTTCGCCAACATTAGTCACTGTTCTTGTATATATGTTTGAGCTGCTAATCCAAGTCCAATTGAAAACGAAGGATAATTTAGTTCTGCTTCATCAATTTTTGATAATGAACATAATCCTCGGGTTTGATGTCATAGATTAAGCCTGGATCAATCACTAGCTCTTAACGGATTAACATGTCCTGCACCAGTAGCGAACAAGTCACTGTTCTCATCAAGATCAGCAGTCGTCATGATTGCTGATTTGATAGCAGCTGGAGTATGTACTTTTTACTAATGTTGCAATTCCAAATACATGAGGGCAAGACATTCACGTGCCAGACGCGATGTTAAAAGTAGACTTAGTTGGCCAAGCAGCAAGAAAATTAACACCTGGAGCAACAATATCTGGTTTTAAGATTCCAGGATTTGCCCTGTTTGGTCCTCTGCCTTAATAGCTCGCGACTTGTCGATCAAAAATCATCTTCAAATATGGTTCCTCTGAATAAAAATGTGGCTAAGGGATTGATGTTGAATTCATGTACTATATGATCTTTAGTCCATCTGTATAGCTGATATGTGCTGCTGGAACAATTCATCGTTCGCGAGTATCATTCCAGCATCACCAGCATTCTTCACATAATACATTTTTTTCCTTTGACATCTATAATGACTCCGCGCTGCAAAATGCATCACTAACATTTCTAACCATTGGTAACATTGTCTGGGAGAAGTCTTTGGGCTGGAATCCTGATTCCCCATAAATTTCTTTTCCATCACCAAGACGTACCGTGGCTCTTAGTTTTCTATCAGTAGTGCTTGCACCAACGGTGAAAAGCCATGGATATCGATTATTTACAGTGCCTGGTAGTGGACCTGTATTGCCAGCTGAACAGCTAACAAAGAATCCTCTTTTGCATAGCAGTAAATCCACCTTCTGCTATAACACCTGACCAAAATTGGTTAAACTTTGAGATAATTGAAATCGATAGTACATCAACCTCATCTTCGATTGCAGCATCTATCGCAGCCAATACATCAGTCTCATGACATCCATTACTGGAACAGACTTTATGCATGTAAAGCTTATGGATTCTAGCAAGAATCCATAGCCAAAGCTCAGCTGGAGCTCAAGAACACGTATGGAGAAAAACAGATCAATTGGAAGAGAAGAGATTTTTTCATTGAGCTACAATGTCACACAATACATCACTTATATACAATCTATTCACTAACAACTTGTAACTAACTTGTAACTATAATCTAGTATGTAATCTTCACCATAATATACTATATACTTCAATATATTTTCAATTTACATCAATGCAATTATTTAGCTCTTTTGCAATGCATAGCAACGTGTGCCATACCAAATGCTGTGCCATTAGTCATACCTAATACATTCGCCCCATTCACGAAATTTCCAGTAGCAATGCTTGAAGTATGTGTACCATGACCATTTTCATCGAGAGATGTCCCATTAAGGTAGGCCATCAACGTTTAAGTAAGACGAGTCACCTTTGTGGGATCCAATAAATCAACAATCAGTGGTTGCTTGGCTAGAAAAAAACATTAAGGGAAATAATCAAGATATCATTGGGTTAAACTTTGGATCTTGGATGGTTTTATTTTATGTGATTTTGTGATACTGAGACTTCAGATGTCAACATAAGCAAATAAAGTGAGTTTAATAAGTGCCTTAAAAAGCTTGGGATGATTTATAAGAGACTTCCTTGTAATTACTAAATGAATTTATTGTTATAAAAAAATGAAAGTGACTTTAGTATCATTTTCAAACTTGCATCTTTCCCTCCTTTTCCCAATTTACTACTTTTTTCGTTTAAAAAAGAACGACCATTTTCCTTTTTTAGCAACACTTTTGTTTCAGTTTTGCACGTGATATATTTAAAACCATAAGATTAAGGGACATTTTGATACGCTTGATATAACTTTAATCAAGGACCATAAGATTGAAAAGTCATTTTTATTTTCTAAAATTCTGTGTCAAATCAAATTAGGTCATTCTATTTTTAAACGGAGGGAGTATAGTGCTGCTTTCAAGGCCATAGATTGCATGTGCAAAGATCCCATTTAAGCCACTTTGAATCCATAGTTCACATTTCAGCTTCTTTTCTTTTTTATTTAGGAGGTCTGATCTTATTATTTCTCTCTAGTTCTCTTCTTTAACAACAAACTGCAGAACATTGATTTTGATTTTTGCTGGCTTTACATTTGTTAGAGTCAATTTTGCTACGATCTTGATATGTGTTTGATGAGGTATACAACTCTCTATTAGCTCTTACTTTTCATCTTCTCTTAATTCGTGTTTTTTTCGTCCAACAATTGGTGAGAGGAGACATGGCTTATGTTGCTGTGATTTCACTTGTACAAACTTTGAAGCAACTCGTGCAGCTAAAGCCAAATTGGTTAAGTGATGAAACAAGAAAAATGGTGGATTCTGTCGTTAAAAATCTTGAATATTTCCAAGACTTTCTTGAGAACATAGACTGTGGAAAAATTGAAGAGTTGGAACGGGAGATTAGAAGTACAGTGAATGAAGCAGAGGACGCGATTGAACTAGAGATATATGAAATTAACAAATTGGAAAAAGGAAATGCAAGAGAGGTATTATGTGAAACTCTGTCACTACTTGTAGAAAAGATTGATGATATGAAGAGGAATGTAATGGAAAGTAGTTTTGGTAGAAATGAGGTTCAAGGTTATAGTAATACTGCAAATGAGGATCTGCAAACAGGATATGTTGCAAAACTTAATCCAAAAAGTGTTGTCGTTGGTCTCGAAGATGATCTCATGAGAATCATTAGACGACTAAAAGGGTCGATGTCTACTCAAGAGATTATCCCCATTTTGGGAATGGGGGATAGGCAAAACAACCCTTGCAAAAATGGCATAGGATGATCCTCAAAAAAAGGAATCGCTTTGACGTGCATGTTTGGGTGACTATATCTCAAGAATACCAAACTAGAGATTTGTTGTTAGATGTTCTTTCTTGTATTTTTACTGAGATCAAACATGGGACTGATGATGAATTGATGGATACGATATACAAAAAGTTAAAGGGTCGAAGGTATCTTGTTGTCATGGATGATATTTGGAGTAATGACGTCTAGGATCTTATGTCGAGAACTTTTCCTGACGATAACAATGGGAGTCGAATCATTTTAACAAGTAGGCTCAAAGGCGTGGCAACGCATGCTGCCCCTGACACCCCACCTCATGAGGTTAGCCTCTTGAATTCAGATGACAGTTGGAAGTTACTTCATGAAACTGTGTTACGGAGTAATACAAGTTTGTCCTCCTGAACTAGAGGATATTGGGAAGCAAGTAGCACAAAAATGCCAAGGACTACCTTTAGCTCTTCTAGTGGTCGCGGGGCATCTTTCTAAAATTGAAAGAACACAAGAAAGTTGGAAAGATGTTGACAAAAGTGTAAGTAAAGTTGTTGCTAATGAATCAGATAAATGTCTAGGGGTGCTTGCTATGAGTTACAATTACTTACCTAATCATCTTAAACCATGTTTCCTCTATACGGGAATCTTTCCGGAAGATAGTGATGTTAACATAGAGAGATTGATCAACTTATGGGTTTCTGAGGGTTTTCTATGGGAAGAATTAGTGGGAAGAGATTATTTGGAGGATCTTGTTAGCAGGAATCTGATAATGGTTAGAAACAGGAGATCTAATGGTGAGTGGAAAACATGTGGTGTCCATAATCTAGTTCGCGATTTAATTTTAAGAGAAGCTGAGCAAAAGAAGTTTCTGCAGGTTACTAAAGATCTTTCTGCAAAGATGCATCATGTTCGTCGTTACAGTTTTCATTCAAACATTCATCAGAATGATTTGTTGGAGTCATCATCAATTGATGTCACCCGCACTATGCATTTCTTCCGTGGATTAGGTTCTAAACAAGTCCCTCTTTTGGCATGCTTCAAATTACTAGGAGTGTTGTCAGTCGTTCCGTATGGATTTGAAGATTTTCCTCTTGTGATAACAAAATTAGTACATCTTACATACCTTCAATTACGCAGTTGTGATGATCCTCACGGTTCGTAGACTGAACTTTATAATCTCCAGGTCTTCATTGTTGGAAGCTAGGTTATAATTCTCCAACTATACATGAGACAGTTTGGCAAATGAAACATTCAAGGCATCTTAAGCTGAGGCAGTCAATTTCTCTCCCTAAAAATCCATCAAATAAGCTGCAAAACTTGGAAGGACTTTCCTGTCTAAGATTGTCTAGCTGTACTTTTGAATTGTTTTCCGCTATTCCAAATCTTAAGACGCTTATACTTCGTGGAAGTCAAAAGGAATGCCAGGGTGATCAGAAGATGTTTAAGCACCTAAACAGCCTTGCCTGTTTAAAAAGACTCGAACAGTTGAAGATCAGATGCAAAGACCTATACTTGTTCCCAATCCCATGTAAGTATACTTTACCTACATCTCTGAGGAGCTTGACTTTAAGCTATACTTACTTACCTTGGGAAGACATGGCAAATATAGTGAAGTTGCCAAAACTCGAAGTACTTAAAATAAAAAACTATGGATTTTATGGTGATGTGTGGAGATTAAATGATGGAGAGATTTTCAATCAACTTAAGTTCCTCCTAATCAGGACAAATGATCTGAAGCAGTGGAAAGCTGGTAGTGTTAACTTCCCAATGCTGCAGCGCGTAGTTCTGAGAACATGCATATACCTGAAGGAAATCCCTTAAGACTTTGGAAAAATTTATACTTTGGAGTCAATAGAGTTGTATCATTGCAGAAGAATTGCAGCAAATTCCGTGCATGAAATTCAAGAAGAGTAGGAGAGCATGGGGAATGATTGCCTTAGTGTCCTCATCGATGATTGTAGGTCAGATTCATATTGTCTTAAATTATTGCTCACTAATTATGCACCCTGTTTCTTCTCTTACATTTCCTCATGATATTTTCACATTTTAAGTACTCATTGATATGCTTCTTATTTCAGTAGAGGAGCTGATCATGCATGCTAAAGGAATGCGCTGTGCGTGGGAAGCAATATATTACCTTTGTTAGCTTATAAAGGGGGAGGTCACTTGTAACTTGTTAGCAACTTTAGTCTCTTCCGTTTTTTTTTTAAAAACAACTAAAGGACCTAACTTTTACCTGTGTTATGCAGCTAGTTGTTGTTCTTTGTTTCTATAATGTTCTTGCAAGCTAGCTATGATTGACTGGATGGTTTATTAACATGTTCGTTATGTTATAATTCTAAATTATTGAGTACAAATTATATGCCTTCTGTACTTTACTCTGTAGTTTTCAGTATTTCCATTTCCCTTTCTCATGAGTCTTATGTCATATAAGTCTCTGATTAATTCAGTATGAAACACGTCCTTAACTTGTGGGAAATACTACGGTATATAAATACAATTTGGATAGTGCCATGAAAGGAGAAGGAAAATAATATAGTGCTACAGAGAAAGCAATCAGGTTGCGGACTCAATCGAGTATGGTTTTCCATTTACAGTAGAAACTCAGTTTCAAATGAATAGTCAATTCCTATGCATAATCGAAGTTCTTGTTTACAAACTAGTTCAAGTCCCTTGCAGTTTCCCAATTGTGTATGTACTGTTAGGTAGTGGAGCCTGATTTATTTTAGGTTTTCCTATTTATTCTCTATTTTAGGTTTTCCTATTTATTTTATGTAACCAAAAATACTCTGATTTATTAATATAAATATACCTCACCGCCGTGGAAGTTTACTCACGGGGTTTTATCACGAAATATTGGGTTTTCTCTTTCTCTCTCTAGATTTCTCATCTCTTTCTCTTGAAAGTTCTTGTGTTCTTCATTCATCTAGTGTGTGTGCGTGAATTCGATCCTAACAACTGGTATCAGAGCTAAGGAGATTCAACACGATCACTGAAGATGGATAGCTCAAAGCTTGGAATCGAGAAGTTTGATGGATCCAATTTCAGTTTCTGGAAGATGCAGATCGAAGATTATATGTACCAGAAAGATCTTCACGAACCGTTGACCGGGGTGAAGCAGGAATCCATGACGGAGGAGAAGTGGAAACTCAAGGATCGCCAGGCTCTAGGGTTGACCCGGTTGACTTTGTCAAGAAACGTGGCGTTTCACATCGTGAAGGAGAAGACTACGTCCGGTCTGTTGAAGGCACTGTCAAGCATGTATGAAAAAGCATCGGCTATGAACAAGGTATATTTAATGCGTAGATTGTTCAATTTACAGATATCTAAGAATGGATCTGTTTCTGATCATATAAACGAGTTCAATATGATTGTGAGTCAACTCAATTCTGTGGATATTAATTTCGAAGATGAAATTAAGGCGTTGATTTTGATGTTATCTCTGCCCGAGTCTTGGGATACTGTTGTTGCTGCGATTAGCAGTTCCCGTGGATCTGAGAAACTGAAGTTTGATGAAATCCGTGATGTTGTTCTTAGCGAAAGTATTCGCAAACGAGAGGTGAGAGATTCATCGGGCAGTGGTCTCAGTGTTGATCGAAGGGGGAGAAGTAAGACGAAAGGCCAAAATCAACATGGTCGATCAAAATCAAAGAATCGAGGAAAATCACTGAACAGATCAAACGTGACTTGTTGGAACTGTGGAGAAAAAGGACACTTTTGGACGAACTGTACAAAGCCAAAGAAGAAACAGAATCAGAAATTTGGAGATGACAATGATTCTGTAAATTTAGCAGAGGACATTGGGGATGCTCTAATCTTTAGTGTGAACAGCCCGGTTGAATCATGGATTTTGGATTCTGGTGCATCTTTCCATTCGTCTCCAAGCAAGGAGTTGTTCCAAAAATTTTAATCTGGAAATTTTGAAAAAGTATATCTTGCTGACAATAAAGCCTTAGAGATTGAAGGAAAGGGGGATGTTTGCATAAAGACCACCTCGGGAAACCAGTGGACATTGGAGGATGTCAGATATATTCCTGGGATCAAGAAAAATCTGATCTCTGTTGGTCAGTTGGATAGCACGGGATATGCAGCAGAGTTTGCGAAAGGTTCGTGGAAGATCGTGAAAAGTGCTATGGTAGTAGCTCGTGGCACCAAATCTGGAACCTTGTACACCACTGCAGGGTGTATAAACATGGTCGCTGTTGCTGAAGGTGCTTTCGGTTCATGTCTGTGGCGCAACAGACTTGGACACATGAGTACTAAAGGAATGAAGATGCTGGTTGCAAAAGGAGCATTAGAGGGTCTGAAGTCTGTTGATATGGGTCTTTGCGAGAGCTGTGTTATGGGCAAACAGAAAAGAGTAAGCTTCACAAAGACTCCTAGAGAGCCAAAGAAAGTGCGGTTGGAAATGGTCCATACAGATGTTTGGGGACCATCTCCAGTATCATCACTTGGAGGATCCAGATTCTATGTTACCTTCATTGATGATTTCAGTAGGAAGGTATGGGTTTACTTCTTGAAGCATAAGTCAGATGTGTTTGCAACTTTCAAGAAGTGGAAAGCTGAAGTTGAGAATCAGACTAGTTTGAAAGTCAAATGCCTAAGCTCTGACAATGGAGGAGACTATGACAAATCAGAGTTCAAGGCATTCTGTGCAGCTGAACGAATCAGATTGATCAGAACAGTTCCTGGTAAGGCAAGGCAGAATATAATTGCTGAGAGGATGAACAGAACATTGAATGCGCGTGCAAGGAGTATGAGGATACACTGTGGGCTGCCCAAAACACTTTGGGCGGATGCTGTGAGCACACCTGCATACTTGATCAACAGGGGACCATCAGTTCCTTTAGGGTTCAAGATTTCAGAGGAGGTGTGGACAGGAAAAGAACTCAAGTACTCACACTTGAGGACTTTTGGTTGCACTGCTTATGTTCATGTTGATCCAGAAAAGAGAGACAAGCTTGACGCCAAGGCTGTGAAGTGTTACTTCATAGGATATGGTTCTCATTTGTTTGGTTACAGGTTTTGGGATGACAAGAATAGAAAGATCCTGAGACATTGTGACGTGACATTTAATGAGTCTGTCCTGTACAAGGACAGAGACCAGAATGTTCTAGAGATTACAAAGCAAGTGGGAGTTGAGGTTGAGTTGGAGAAGAGTAACCCCAGAGATGTGGAAGCAGATACTCAACCAACTCCTACTGAAGAATCTGAAGTGGAGCAAGTTACACCTGAGCAGGTGTTAAGGAGATCATCCAGATCCATCAGGGCACCAGATAGGTATTCACCTTTATTACACTATCTATTGCTGATTGATGAGGGGCAACCAGAGTCTTTTGATGAGGCCCTACAGGTGGAGGATTCGATCAAGTGGGAGCAAGCCATGGATGATGAGATGAGGTCACTTGAGAAGAACAACACATGGGTGTTGACTGAGCTACTTGCAGGGAAGAGAGTTTTGCTGAACAAGTGGGTGTTCAGAATCAAGACTGAACCAGATGGCAAAAGAAGGTTCAAGGCTCATTTAGTGGTTAAAGGATATTCACAAAGGAAAGGTATTGATTATGCTGAAATATTCTCTCCTGTTGTGAAGTTAACCTCTATTCGAATTCTGTTGGGTATTGTTGCATCGGAGAATTTGCATCTAGAGCAAATGGATGTAAAAACAACGTTTCTACATGGAGATCTGGACAAAGAGATCTATATGCAGCAACCGGAAGGATTTGTGGTTCCAGGCAAAGAACACATGGTGTCCAAGCTCACCAGAAGCTTGTATGGACTAAAGCAAGCACCAAGGCAGTGGTACAAGAAGTTTGACTCCTTCATGACCAATAGTGGATTCTGCAAAGCTGAAAAGGATTATTGTTGTTACTTCAAGAAATACACTGATTCATATGTCTTTCTACTCCTGTATGTAGATGATATGTTGATTGCAGGATCTAGTAAGAGGGAGATTAACAATCTGAAGACAAGGTTGTCTGCAGCGTTTGAGATGAAAGATTTGGGTCCAGCAAAGCAGATTTTGGGGATGAAGATTTCTCGGGATAGATCTGCTGGCACTTTAAATCTATCTCAGGAGTTGTACATTGAGAAGGTGCTGAACAGATTCAGGGTTAATGATGCTAAACCCAGGACTACTCCATTGGCAAATCACTTTAAATTGTCAAAGGAACAGTCACCCAAGACTGCCGAGGAGCGTGATCACATGGCACTTGTTCCATATGCTTCAGCAGTTGGTAGTTTGATGTATGCTATGGTCTGCACTAGACCTGATATAGCACATGCAGTGGGAGTTGTTAGCAGGTACATGGCGAACCTTGGGAAAGAGCATTGGGAAGCTGTGAAGTGGCTTCTGAGATATCTGAGAGGTACATGCAGTACTTCACTTTGTTTTGGCAAAGGCAAGGTGACTCTACAGGGTTTTGTGGATGCTGATCTTGGTGGGGATGTTGACTCGAGCAAGAGTACATTCGAGTATATTTACACCATAGGTGGAACAGCAGTGAGTTGGATGTCCAGGCTTCAGAAGTGTGTTTCTCTTTCATCTACTGAAGCTGAGTATGTGGCAATAGCTGAAGCTGGGAAAGAGATGATATGGCTGGAGGATTATCTTGAGGAATTGGGCAAGAAGCAGAGCGAAAAGATTATTTACTCAGATAGCTAGAGTGCCATACAGTTGGTGAAAAATCCAGTCTATCATTCGAAGACAAAGCACATCACCATTTCACTCGCAGGGCAGTGGAGGATGGTGATATGTGCTTGGAGAAGATAGAGGGTGCAAAGAACCCGGCAGACATGTTGACGAAATGTGTTGATGTTGG